TCTTTCTTTCTTTCTTTCTTTCTTTCTTTCTTTCTTTCTTTCTTTCTGTCTACTGTCTCATTCTTTCTTCCCTTTCTTTCTCTCTCTCTCTTTTTCTCTTTTTCTTCATCTTTGTCTCTTTCTCTTTCTTCTTATCTCTTTCTCTATAATTCTATCTCCCTGAAAAAATATTTAGGAAAAAATGTTTATATATTCTTGCTATCTAATAATAATTCATAAAGCTGAATAGTTAAGGTCCTTCTTTTCACCTTGCAGGAAGTCATTGGTTTGTACAATCTACACATCGACATTCAGCTTTTGTCTTTGTTCCTTTTTCTCTACCCAAGTTAATAATAAGATTCCTTCTGTTTTTCTGTAGATACATATAGTCAGTGAGCAAGACAATCTCTCTTTTTATGTAGCATATCAAAGAATGTGCAATTTTACCTTTTATTTGGTTATTTCTTTTGAGTGCTTTTTAAAGGGTTCATAATGCCTTTCAGCAATAATAGTATTTTCCTGATGGCTGAAAAAAGTATAATCCAGCTCTTTACTGGGAAAAGTATGGGGTTGACTGCCAAATAGTTTATCCTGACAGAGACAAGGATGAATTCCAAGTTAAACAGAGCAATAGTACTTTTGTTTCTAGCAAACGACTTGAATTTAAAATGTGGCTAAGCATAAGAAAGTAATGGGAATGAATCAGCACATAGCTCATGGAAACAACTGAAATTAAAACACACCATTTGGCATCAAATTCATTTGGAAGATAATTGCATATAGTTATTCAGTACCGTTAAAAGAAATGTGGATATGTTTCTCTGCATAAAGAGTAGGTAAATGTAGCAATGTAGTATGATTCGATATTACCTGCATAATGCATACTATTTACCAGGTCTCCTCATCAGGAAATAATCAGACTAATAATGAACATTTTGAGCAGACAAATCCATCTGGTTATATTTTTAGCTTCACCATACCAACCTGTACATAGCAACTGCTGTGTGAAAGGATAATGGAAATGGAGCTTCGGCTACAAAAAGAAATACAACACAATTATAGAAGTTAACTCTTTTTTATGTTTTTGTCTCCTCAGCAGGAGAAACCTAAACTTTTGGAACCTTTGGATTATGAAACAGTAATTGCAGATATTGAGAAGAATGTTGAAAATGATCGTCTGAAAGACCTCTTTTTGTTCCCTGAAGATGATTTTTCAGTGAGTGATTGATATTTACTAATAAAGCTAAGTCTCATCTAAAACTTTGTCAAGAAGTTCCAGTTTTTATGCCTTGCAACATATGAGGCAATATTGTGCTCAGCTTAGTTTCATTTTTAAAAAAAATTCAAGACACCTGGCTTGATGTAAAAAGAGGATTGATTTGGCCAAATCAAACACAAACACAATAATTTCCTGAAATGTGCTTTTGACCTTTAGATTCAACAGTACTGAAATAGGTATGAAACTGTAGAAAACCAAGAAGCTTTCAAGGTCGATGTTAAACCATCAGAATAGGCCAAATCATGAAACAGATTCTACAAGTTTGGCTGGAATCCACTGTATTGCCATAGGCTACAGTAACAGATTCTAGAAAGCCTTCTCAAATTTTCCTCTCCCTCCCTCTATAGCATGGGTGTCCAACCTTAGCAACTTTAACACTTCTGGACTTCAACTCCCAGAATTATCTAGGCAGCAGGTTAGACACTACAGCTTCTATACTCTAATGAATTAAAGAGAAGTCAGTCTTATTTCTCATGTTGGTAACTTAGTTGGTAACTTAGTAACTTGGTAACTTAGGGAAACAATTTCTTGACTATACTAAGCTCAGGGGTGGGATTCAATTTTTTTAACAACCAGTTCTGTGGGCGTGGCTTAGTTGGTGGGTGTGGCTTGCTGGTCATGTGACTGGGTGGGCATGGCCAACTCGACGTCACTCACATCAAGGGGCACTTCTCCTCGCCTGGCCTCTCATGACAGTGGAGATACTGCAACAGTCGTAAGTGTGAAAAATGGTCATCAGTCACTTTTTTTCAGTGCCATTGTAACTTTGAATAGTCACCAATTTTAGACCAAAACTCAAAAAGGGTATGTAAACTCAAGTTCGAATGTCAATCTTTCTAGCTAGACAAGAAGCCTTGCTGAATGTCACTCATCTTGGTTCCTTTTCATTAAAAGCTTCTTTCTGGCAGCTCTGCTTCATTATTCAATTATTTCTTCAAAGTGCTAACTCCAACAGGGGAGTATTTCTTCCCAACAGCAATGTAAAAAGCTTAAAACAATCCTTCCCCTGTAAGAAAGTACCAGCAAAGAAAAAAAAAAACACCTTTGGAGACAATGTCTAGGTATACTGCCAAGAATGCAAGAAGGGTGGAAAAAAACAAAAGGAGATTTCTTCCAACAACCGGTTCTCCGAACTGCTTAGAAAGTTAACAACCGGTTCTAGCGAATAGGTGAGAACTTGTAGAATCCCACCCCTGACTAAGCTTATTAGGTTCAGTCCTCACAACTCCTAAGGTTAATGGGAATAATGCTTCATAGATTCTTTAACATTCTATAACATTCTTCACCTATCTTTTATTCCAATGGAGATTATGAATGGTAAAATATCATTCTTTCTAAATGTATGAAATGTACGGTATATATGCAGATTCCTCAGTTCATAATACAACACCATTTTTTTAAAAAAATCCTGTGCTGCTGACATCACATTTTAACTGCCATTGTATTTATCACAAGAAAACTTCTTAACAATTGCACATTGTTGTGAAATAAAGGACACAGAAGACAGGAGACGATGTTTTTCGGTCATAACTCCACTTATCCATTATAGAATAGTGTCTTGTTAGATATAAGATTAATCCTTATCAAAGCAATACAAAGGGATTAAAAATATTAGTTTAAATGTTAACGCATTTTTGTGATTATTGATTGTTTTATGGTACATTTTTTTAGATGTTACAGTATACCATCATGGATTTTTACTTACTTATATTTTAGATTTTAATCACATTTAAAGATCCACAAAATAATATTTGTCATCAATACCAATACAAAATACCAATGTCAACCCTGAAGCTGACGTGACCAAGGCCATTTTGAGGCTTCAGTGTTGCCACACTGGAGCTGATGCAGAGCGAAGGGGGAATAGAGATACTTCGGGTTTGTAGCCAAAACAAAATACTTTGTCCTGGGAACCATGTACATTCCCATAGGTCGCAGAAGAGGGGAAGAGTAAAATCATCAGGCAATCAGACAGGACCTTGATTGGACCATGTGACTGATTGTTTGGGAAAGGGGAGAAACTTTTAATTAGGTGAAAACCGTGGGAATATTCAGAATAGGTTTTCACCGGTCTGTGTCAATATGATATCCCAAATAAAACTATTATTTGAAGAAACATTTTGTCTTGGAGTTCTGTTTGCTATGGGTGCAATACTTGGAACCCTGACAATTTTGTGGATCTTTTAACTGTGATTCTATAAGCCACCATGCATCTGTTTGGATTTGACAACATATATATCTAATATAAATAAATAAAATTCTTGCACCAACTTATTCCAGGTGTCTCTCCACAGTAACATTACTTAAAATAACATTATTTTATGAACAGTTCTGTGTGATGAGAATGCTTCTGCTAAATTCTAAGAAGAGAAGCTTCTTGAAGCTTGAAAATTTCTATCAAATTCTTCACAAAAATATTCATTATTCAATTTTTTGTAACATTTGAGATTTGTATTTAATATTTGCACATTTTGAGTAATATTGCATGAATCAGAATATTGGAGTCTCCTGATATTTAAAAAAATAGTATTTTTTCATGTACTTTTATGGATTATAGGTTATTTAAGCAGGAATTGAATAATTGTTGTATCTAATCTTTTCATTAAAAATTGGACCTTAGCCCCTGTTTATTTTTTTACTGTGGTGCTGCAAATTTGGCAAATAGTTTGTACCTGGCTTCTCCAATACTTGTGGTTAACACTTTCCCTTATTGCCAATATTCAGCTTAGCATTAGCATTGGTAAGAATAATTATGTAAGAAAAAGAACAACAGAAAACATTTCTATCAGCTCCTTGGTGGTTTCCAGATTCTGCCCCATGTAACTGCAGCCTTGCTCCAAAGCACCTTTACAGTGAATACTTAATTATAATAATTCCTGAATACAAGTAATACCAATAAAATAATTCTTGATTTATATACAATGTCACATGCTTTTCTCTTTATTGGTAATGCCATTTTGGAAGAAAACTAATTTAGCCATTACTTTGACTGTCACCCCCATGATTTTATTTCAGCAGTTTTTCATTGGTAAAGGTTAATCTTCATATGAGCAGAAGTGTTTTAGCAACTGGGGAGCTAAACTGATGGTGTCAAGCATGTTTCCACCAACCCATTTTCATATTGGCAAAGCAAGAAAATTTTAAAATGAGCATGTGGAATCTTCTTGCTTTTTCATGTTTTGTTATTCTTGAGAAAGTTATTTCTTCTAAAACAGTTTTTTCCATTCCTGGATTGTGTTTAGCATTAGAGCTATGAAAAGAGAATAATATGTATAATAAGCTTTGCATTTAATGAGGTAGACAAAGATTGTTTGCAACAATCTCTTAATATAAATACATCAATCATTGGACTTGCAAAACAAAAATGAAATTATAGTGATGCATTAGGGAACACACAGGACAGAGAGCAAACTGTGTAATTCACTTTATTGTAACAGATGCCACAACACGCTGAAACTATAACAGTTTTTCAATTTCCTCCTCAGATTTTACAATCAAAGGTAGCATTTTTCCTGGCAGATCCAAACGTTTAAAATAAATAAATTGTACATCTTGCTTTCCTGAAGATTATAATAATCTCTTTCAAATTGTATGGGTAGAGATATTCACATGCGCATCTGTATAAATCTCAGTTTATATAGAATTATGTACACGGTTTGTTATTATGAAAATGGTTTGCAGAACTGCCTCTTAATTGTAACAGATTTGCTATTAACAATATTTTACTGTTACTATGAATAAATAGTAAGTGAAATGTATTTAAAGTAATTCCATTACAGATTCAACTTCAGCAGGAAGTTAAAAAAAACAGCAGTTGTTTCCAGGGTTATTGAATTTATTTTTCCATGAAATTTATGCATTGACAGTTGAAAAGAAAGCTTCATTTTCCAGCTAAGCTAATTTGAGGCTATTAACCCATCTAATATACTCTGTCAAAAACTGAAGCAGCCTGTTTGTGCTTCTTTTGATAAAAGTTACCCATCTATGAAAGGTATCTTTTCAGAAACATAAAAATGTCCTGGATGCTTGACTAGGTATATGAGCAGGAATAAAAAGGAATCAATATTACCAAAACTCTCTTATATGCAACTGATAATGCTGAATTTTTGTTAAAAAAAATATCAAGCATTAATATTCTTAAAATATTTATATCTTGCCATTTTTCAAATTAAAGCAATGTACTATAATAATGTTGGGTTTATATATTTCAGTAAGATAATATAAATTAGAAAAATGACAGGTTTTACTATACTACCGTGTTTCTCCAACAATACAACCTCCACCAATAGGAAGGCCCAGCATGATTTCTAGGCATGAGGTGAAATTAAGCCACCCCCCCAAAATTTAGGCCTATTTAAACCATGCGTTTCCCCGCCATTTCTCACATCATTCGTTGGAACTACACAAGGTGAAGAGAAATGGGGGGGGAAGGGTGGGGGGTGGGTGGGGAGAAAACTTGCCTTTAGGAGTGCCCTGCAGGTAGTCTAGGCTAGAATACCCTGATCTACTACCGATAGAACATCAGCTGATAGAAGGTCCACAAAGGCAGAGTCACCAGCCGCTTCGATCGGCCAGTAGAAGTGGCCTCGGGGTGAGTGCCCACGCACTCCCCTCACTGCGAGGCTGCTTCTATCAGCCGATGAAAGCTCCCTGAAGGCAGAGTCCCCAGCCGCTTTGGGTCAAGGCATGGCTACCCGTGTCCCCCCGCCATTAGGCAGTGTCTTTTGGGTGATGGAAGCTCCCCAAGGGCAGTCACCAGCCACTTCGATCGGCCGATAGAAGCGGTCTCGCGGCGAGGGGTGTGTACGTGGGCGCTTGCCCCAAGGCTGCTTCTACCGGCCAATTGAAGTGGCTGGTGACTGCCTTTGGGGAGCTTCCATCACCCAAAAGACACTGCCTAATGGTGAGGGGACACGGGCAGCCATGCCTCGCCCTGAAGCGGCTGGGGACTCTGCCTTCAGGGAGCTTTTGTCGGCCAATAGAAATTGCCTCATGGAGTGGTACATGCGCATGGGCCGCTCTAGGTGGGGGAGGAAATTAAGTTACCCCCAAAAAGATGGCCTAGCCATTTTTGGGGGGGTCAAAAAAAAAAGGCCCAGCCTTATTTTGTGAGAAACACGGTATTTCTAAAAAGGCTTGTATATCAGTGGAAGGAAAAAAGCTTTCTCTCCGCCCATGAAATTAAGGTTTGAAATTAAGGTTTGTTCTCATATGTATCTATGCATTACTGTGGTTCTATTTAGGATTTATTTGAGATGGTACACTTCCAAATGCTGTATAATATTCTGTCTGTTGGTTACATTTTTTTTACATTTTTGTCTTCAGGGAAAGGCATTGTGAGTATTGCAAAACTCACTCATTTCAAATAATCTCCCTCCCTCCAAAATAGATGCAGAATTATTTCTTATGCATTATTCCAATATAGATCCTTTCTTTCTGCCCATAGAACATTCATGAAAATGAGATGACAATTGATGCATGATTTATCTGTGATGGTTGAAAATATACTTTGCATGCAAATTCCTTAGTAAGATATCTAATGATACTGTAATAATTTAGATAAACTTAGCCCTTAATTACCCTATTTGATTATTTATGTTATTTATTATTCTTTGATGCTCAGGTATGAACTTTTTTCTCTCTTTGTTGACTTCTCATTAGATAGCCACAATTCCCTGGGAAATAAGAACACTGTACTCATCAGTTCCTGAAGATGCAGAACAAAAGGCGGAATATTTATTTGTTAAAGAGGTAAAGTTATCATTCTTTACTCTACTTAATCTTGAATATACATTTTGTCAGGATATTTATTTTTAAAAAATAATATAGTGTAACTTTCAACATCATGACCATTTTTTTCTCTTTTTTTTCTCTTTTGCTTTTCTTAGACATTAACGCTATGTTGTATCTGATACTTGGCAATTGTTCTGTAATTCTTCCTAGATGCATATTTGATACATGCTTGTGTCAGCACCCTGCTGTTCTTGGTTAGATACTTGTATTGTTAGTGTTTGGTTTGTCTTTAGACATGAGATTATATCAGACCATTGATGATGGTTATTTTTTAAAATATTTAGTTGGGTATAATGAATCAGTTTGTAAGATTACTTTGCACAATGTTTACTTCTTAATTGGGATTGGATTTGAATTATTTGAAGAGAGAGATTAGCGGGAATATTTGGAGGACTGTACTAGACTCGTTGCACAGGAGGAAGAGGGTACATTCCATAGGAGTAAGTGACAGCTCAGTTCAGATAGTTTGCCTGAGAAAGAGGGTGAAGACAGGCCCTCCTTAACAGTTCTCTGAGTATTGGCTTATGAAGATAGCAGAGGGCTTTAGTTAGGCAAGATTCTATCTATAGGTGTAGAAACAATAAAGAGCTTGGAAGAATCATCACATGTTTTTCTTGTTTCTGGGGTCTTGAAAGAATCTGCTTATAAGGAAATGGAGATATACCGTATTTATCGGCGTATAACACGCACTGGCGTATAACACGCATCTTCATTTTAAGGGGGAAATTTCAGGAAAAAAATTTTTTAAAAAATTCTGCCTGCCTGCCTTAGTTTCTGGTTGTTTGGGAGCAGCTTCGGCTGAGAATAATAACTATTCGCCTCTTTTACTCAGCCGAAGCTGTTCCGATTCAACCATTAACGAAGGCAGGCAGGCAGGCAGAACGGAGCACTGCGGGCGGGCGGGCGGGCGGACGGGGTGGGGGTGGGGGAGAGGCGACAGGAAAAGCCCCCCCCCCGCTTCTTTGAAGCAGTTTCTTCCTGTGCTGGTGGAGGAGCGAGAGAGCAACTGAGAGAGCTGACCCAGAGAGAAGGACAGGCTTCGGTTGCTTCCTCCCTCCCCTTCTTTCATTTGTGTCCTTGATCCCCGATCCCAGCAGCATTCACCGAAGGCTTCTTAACATTATATCGGCGTATAACACGCATACATCATTTGCCCCCTATTTTCAGGGGGAAAAAAGTGCGTGTTATACGCCGATAAATACGGTAAATATTTAGCTACTTATATCTCTTAACTTTAAGTGGATTTTTGCTGATTAATAGGGAGAATTGAAGTTTTAGATATGGGTTCATTCAAAAAAGGATGAAATCAAGAATGAAGAAGTATTTAGATGTATTTTAAGAGACAACAATAAATGCTAATGTTTCTGGAGATAAAGGGGAAAGTTTCTTTTAATTTTTTTATACATGGGATGTTTTCTCTACACTAATGCAGAGTTCTCAACCTTTCCAGTTTTGCGAACCTGTCCTATGCTGTATGGGGGAAAAATTGAAAATTGCAAGATAAATTAAAAGGAACTCAAATTCTAGTCAGTTGCCTTATTCTAGTTCTAATTATTGGGGGGGGGGGTTATGTTTTGCAGACTGTGATAATCACCCTTACAACTATCAGATTTTTTAATACTGCTAATTTTTATACTGTTATAAAAATTTAGAAAATAAACATCAGACAGTAGATGGGGTACTCTTAGATCAGGGGTCGCCAACCTTTTGAACCTCAGGGACCACCAAACTAATAATTTTAAATCCCAGGGACCACTAATATGAATTTTGACGGACAGTGGCTTGCTGACATTGGTTATAAAAGAAAGAGAGGGGGGGAGATAGAGGTTAGATCAGATCTCTCTCTCTCTCTCTTTCCCCCCCCCTCTCTCTCTCTCACACACACACATACACATACACAAACACACAGAGGCAGGGGTGGGATTCAAATTTCTTAACAACTGCTTTTGTGGGCATGGTCTAATTTGTGGGTGTGGCATAGTGGTCATGTGACTGGCTTGTATATAAATATTATAAATATTTATGTAAATATTGAATTTTTTATAAAAAAATAGCAACTTTTACCCAAAATCAGGCAAAGCAGGCAGGAAGATTGAGTTGCTCTCAGAATCACAGATTCACTCAGAGATCTATCTTTCTGCCATTGTCTACCTGAGTCTGTCACATAAAATTTGCTTGCAAGCAAACCCATAAAATTTACTAGCAAGCAAACTCACAGAATTAACTCACAACACACCATGTATGTAAATATTCAATTTTTTATAAAAAAAAAGAACAACTTTTACCCAAAATCAGGCAAAGCAGGTAGGCAGATTGAGTTGCTCACAGAATCACTTAGAGATCTGTCTAACTGCAATCAGCTAGCTGAGTCTGCACTGAAAATAGAAGCTTCAGTCCTAAGGAAGATTCATCTCTGCTTTTAGATTAGCTAGAAAGCAAGAAATCCAATGGTTTCCTGCTTTCTAGCTAATCTAAATTTCCCGGCACAGCAGAACAGCTGATGGTTGGTGGGGGGGGAGGAAAAATAGCAACTTAGCAGGCAAGTTTGCCAGGTAAGGAGTGAGTAGGCAGGGAGGGTTCCCACGGGCCATGTGGGCAGCGCAGCCTTGTTCCCACGCAGCCTGGATTAATTGCTCTGGGGGTGACATTTCTTGGCGGACCACCAAAATTTTCTCATGGACCACCAGTGGGCCACGGCGACCACTGTTGTAGATGATTAATATCATGCATCCTTGATATATGAACTCCCATGCAAGCTTCCATAATGCAGTCTTTTATGTTTAAGTAATATATACAACTCTTATCTTTCAAATTGTGGAGCAGTTTTCATGGAACACTTAGAACTTATTTTGATAACAGCATAAATATAGCCTCCTTGGAACTGAGGAAGTATTCTTTGCACTTACACAGGACAATCATATTTATGCTTGAATAATAAAATTAGTTTAAATTAATCAAAGGTTATTAATAAAACTAAGAGTTAAATTAATGATTTTATCATCAAGTGAAAATAAAGAATGGCCATCAATGAGAATATTTTAGTGATCTGAATCAACAGGTAGAGCATTTTATGGAATAAAAAAATGCTCTCCAACAACACTCAAAAAAACGACTTACATCTGGTCCTTGCACTTATGACCATCACAGCATCCTCATGGTTATGATCAAAATTTGGGTGCTTGACAATCTGTAAGCATTTATGATGGTTGCAGTGTCCCAGGGTCATAGGATCACCATTTGCGATCTTCCCAGCCAGCTTTTGACAAGCAAAGTCAATGAGGGGAGGGGATCTGGATTCACTTAACAACCACATGATTCACTTAGCAACGGCAGTGATTTCTTAAGAACTGTGGCAAAAAATGTCATGAAATTGAGTGCAACTCACTTTAACAACCACATTGCTTATCAATGGGAATTGTGATCCCAACTGTGGTAGTAAGTCAAGAACTAACTGTACAGGACAGTAACTGAGATAAATTGTTATATGAGTTGGAGAGAAACAATCTTACTATGCTTACCGTTGAGCTAGACCAGGAGTCCACCAATTCCTCAGCTCATGATGCCTTCATGAGCTTTCACATTATTCAGACATTTATTTTACGAAAATAAGTTAATAAATACTACTTTATGATTAGCAATATGAATAATACTAACAATAATAGTTAATACATTGATCTGGCGGGGGAGGGTCAGTAGTGACCAACTGAGAGAATTCTGAGCTAGACTATCACCATTCATGTGCTATTCACAGGCCAGATATGTCTCAGAAGCTTATAGGCTATACATTGCCTCCCGCTTTTTCTCTCATTGAAGCAAAAAGCATTTTTAGAATGTGCATATCTTAAAACAGTGATCTGACTTAACTCTATTGAGGAGTCTTCCCATGAACAGAATGTTGTGATTAGGACCCCAAATAAGAGTTCAATAGAAGAGATTCACACATCATGACTTTTGTACACTTATGGAAGCTGTTTTCCTGGTTTTGCTGAATTCCTGAGTTAGCAAGGGCTGACTTTGACAAAGTATCCTGTTTCTGGCTGTGATCTTCAGAGAAACAATCAGGAAACTTCAAAAACTAATGCTCAGCATAGTAGCAAGGACAATTCTGGCTTCACTATCTTTCTTAGAGTAGAGATTCATTTCAGAGTAGAACTCAACATGTTTTTTATCTGGGAAATATTGCAAACTGGCAAGGTTACAGTTCAACTGAACCTTTCCATAGAGCCAAAGGAGGTATGAGAGTCATGATGCAAATGGTAAATGCTGGAAAAAGGAATTATTATTTCAGTGAAAATTTGGTCAATGGAATTATGCCAGGATATAGTATTTAAATTTTCTGCTTAAACTGTAAGGCACATATTTCACATATCATCTCCAGGCCTGTATCTTTATACTGTAGCCAGGGCAATCCTATACCTCAGCACAAAATATTAGTTGTTCTCTTTCCTTTTATATGGTGGTCATAATTGCCTATGGTCAGAATGAGGATATTCTGAATTCCATCACTGTTCTCAGTGTGTTCTTCTAATAATAAAATAGTCCATTATTTTAATTATTCCATACATCTTATTTCATGTATCTGAAGCAATGTATGTTGTGTGGCATTTCCCAGATAAGCTATATTTTCTTCTTTTATTTTATTCTGTCTGCTTTAATTTTCCTCCTATTTCTGAAACAAAATCCTTCTCCCATTTATAATAGAAATAGTATTAACATTGCCTGCCAAACATTCTGCATGAAGTATACCTTGTGATCTCATAAAGAAAAGAATGAGCAAGGTCTTGTATGTTTGGTATCGAGGCTGTAGTACCCTTTTTCAGATTCCAAGTATTCTCAAAAGGCGATGAGATACCACAGCAAAAAAACCAGAAGAAATGCTCTAAAATATCCTGATTATGCAAGCCATGCAAATTAAAACTGAAATTAAATTAAAGTATTTAAGTTAAATGGCATTGCCCAAACAGCATTATGTTGTTTCAGAGTAGAAAGATTAATCTGGTCAGTGAGAGCTTACTTTTAAATTGGTTTTGAAATATATTATTTTTAAGGTAGAGAAGGACACTTCCTGCCTTGGTTCAGCACAATATCTCTGTGACGATGATGACTGAAAATCCCACATCCCTTCTTTTTCTGGATTAATCATGTTCTATGGGAGATACTTGAAATGTTATTGTAGTGATTTCTAATCTTTGAGGTTAACAAGTTGAAAGAGTTAGTGTTGTTTACAGTTCTCATTATTTCCATCAAATTTACCAAAAATGAAGAAACGGCTGATATTTCCCCATGATAACCAATGGTTGAATCTTTTATTAAATTGAATGTCACAAACTATCAATTTAAATGAAATTTTATTCTCTTTGGGTCTTGGATATTAAATGTTAAATGTTTATTTCCACCTTTATGTCTGGAATTTGAGCTGCTGCTTAATTAGCTTTATATCAAATTCTCCATCAACTCCATTTGTTTAGCTTGTGAATTAAACACATTGAAATGAAGACATGATTTCATAAAAATAATATTTAGGGTTCTCTGCTATAGACTTTGTTTTCCATTTGCATATAATGAATTTATTATACTTTTTCTGAAAAACATGCAATCTCTCCTTGCCTCAGTTTTTGCCCCTGAAAAACTGGTTGCATAAACCCAAGTGAGATGGAACACACACAAAAAGCAAAAGGGAGGAGAAAGTAAAAAAGATATACCACATCGGCTTCATAGCTTCTAACCTCCAAATCTATCAACCATAGGACCCACACCAATCTTCTCTTGTCGGGGGGAGAAAAAACACATCCCAATGACCAAAAAGAGCTGACAGAGATATCAGTGAAGCACAGAGCTGCTTTTGTAGAGAACTAGAAATAGCCATGTGATACCTTTAATTCACCTGGGGGGGAAATCCCAGACAATAATAGATGGCAGATAGGAAATATTGTTTAGAGAAATATCTTGTTCTTTGTTGCCAAGCTGTCTTGGCAACATGATGATCTTTGCAATCTAGATCTGATAGCTACTGTGTGACTTCCTTGAACCTAGACTGCTGCCTGCTCTTTCTTTCACATGGACTTGGACTGTGGCACCTGAGATTTTTCACAATTGTGGATAGACGGGTCGGAAGGTATCTGAGAGGCTTTGCTCGGATCCTGAAATGCTCTGTGTATGTTACTGTTCTGTGACTCTGTTGCAGGAAAATATTTGGAAATAAATGATATATGAGCCTCTAGGCAAAGTAAGGCAAAATAATTGAAATAATATCACACTTATTCTGGTTATATGTGATCACATGCTGTTAACAGAGCCAAATATGCCATTGTAACATGCTTTTCTTTTTGTATCCCTAACCCTCGGATGCCGACGGTGACCCCATTTTGTCTAGAGAATCTGTGGAGGAACACAGCTGTTTTATATGAAAAAAATAATTAGTTTTATTTTCAGTTCTTGAATTGTGATTCTAGTATTTATCTGTAAGGTGTTTTTTTCTTTCCCAGGATCTCCTGGTTGATATATGCCATAAAAATATCAAAGGGAATTTCAGAACCAGGGGCCTTTTCCACCTAAGTCTTGGATAATGATTTGCATCAGCTTTATTCTTACTGTATTTTATAAATGTTGATAGGTGCTAAGTGGGATAAGCAATTTGTCTATTTCTACTTCTAGGATTTATAGCACTTCTAGTTTCTCATTAAGTAGACTGGCAGGAACAGCTTTCCTGAGACATTTTTGTGCATATTATGGCAGAACAATCCAAGTTCTATGAAATGCTTCGTACCCTTTTTTAAGTTTAAGCAAGGCAGTTAATACTGTTTAAGTGTTCTTTTTATTCTGCATATACAAGCTGTGCAACTTGTATGAATGCAATTCCTAGCATGTAAGAACTGATACATTGTACGTGCCAATTTTGAATCTGTTTACAAATACACAAGCAGGCAAGGATATAATTGAGAATGAAGTTATTTTGATTCCCCACTTTTGCATAACTGTGCCATTGTCTCATATATAACACCAGCAGCAAACATATCAGCAATAGAGAGAGAGGGAGAAAATTGCCTATTTCTTTAATAATGTGCTTTTTGTCTGTCGCCTACTAGAGAATGAATAAAATGTGGGTTCTGTTCTATTCCAGAACCAACTCATTGAATGAGATTTTTCACAGGCTTAGATAGTAGTATATGTTACTGATAATCAAATGTACATACCATGTAACCCAAACTTTTGACAAACTGAGAGAAAAGTGTTCTTGTTCTGCCAATCAGCATTGTAAGGGCTGGTCCTGTTGCATTTTATTAAACTCAGATTGCACTTCTTAGAAAGAAAATAAATGCCAGAAAACCAATATTGGATTTTTTTTTTACTTTTCATTAGTTTGTAATTGATCCGGCCACATTTATGATTAGATAACAGTATACATACTTAGCATACCACAAATTTTGGTCTCTTTGTCACCTAATTATTTAAGTATTGTAGTATTTTTGTTTCATAACTTGCAAAAGAAAACATAAAAATTTCTTCTATAAATGAAGGTTGACAAATGTGATGGTTGTCATTATCAACATACTATATTCTCCATAGCATTTAGATACAAAATGTGTGACAGAAGCTCCAGTTTTCTTATCATGAGCAAGCCTGCTTTAGGGATTTGCAGTGAACCACAGATTTATATTTGATTGATGCTTCAATACATTGACATGAGATTTCAAGAGACTCAAAAAACCAATTCATACTCTGGAAAGCAAAACCTCTGGGGTGATGTAGAATTGAGTAATTTTTATGTGGGAGAAAATATGACAGTTAACTTACAACTGACTGCATTATAGGCACAATACACATTATAAGGAAAACTGGAAAGTTATTGTTGTTTTCAGTGAAATGATATGTAGAAATAATATGTAGTACTAGGTAAACAAAGACAATAAGCTTTCAAAAATATAAGAAAATGCTTGGAAGTTTTTTTTCATAAAACAAAACTGTGTTAGACATTAATGATTCTATGACTATTTTATCAAAATTTTATCTGGAAAGCCTTTTTAAGCCGTGTTGCTCAGTTACTTAATCTCATATGTACTTCCCAGGATTGAAACACAATTACTTTTTGGAATTGTTTTTATTTTGCATAATGTTACCATTCAGTTCTTAAGCCTATAAATTGCATACCAAAATACTTCTAGAGAAATGTTTATATATATTGGCAACAGATGCATATTAAGAGTAAATGTACATGTTTGTCACCTACATACAAACAACTATTTTTCCAACCAAACCTAATTGATTTTCCTTCTTATTCTAATATTTTCTTCTGTATTGTTTTAGGCATGTGAATATTACAGTTCCCAATGGCATACTGTAGACTACAAATACGAAGAGTATTCAGGAGATTTTAGACATCTACCACAGTAAGACACTATACTTTCTTACTTTTTTTCTTTTAAAATATTAAGTTTAAATATAATTGTCCTGGTCACACAAAATAATTGCCTCTATCTCTAATAAATTATCTAAGAGTACATTATGCAAACATTTCATGTTATAGTTATTATGTGTTACTCTTCTAATTAATGCATAATTGTGCTGGAATGAAATACAATCAGATAGCAGCTGCCTTAAAGAGTTATTTTAATCTCACAGATCCCACAGTTCAACCCTGAGGTACAAATATTGATGCTTTCAAGAGTTATAGGCAAGTGCTTTCTTGTTTCCTATTCCAAAACACTCTTAAATTATTTCAAAAGTTATATATATATATATATAAACTATTGTGTAGAAGAGGATATTCTGAATTCTATTATCCTGCAGGAACCCTTTATAAAGATTCTTAATAAACCAAAAGCTTCATCCAGAACAGGGCTGACAAATCCGTGTTGTCATGGTAGTGTCACATGATGTATTTTTCCCATTCGCTAAACTGGGCATAGACGTGGCCAGTGCATGACGCATCTGGCCCAGGGGCCGGGAGTTTGACAGCACTGATCTAGAAGGTAAAGGCTTTTCTTTAAAGCAAACTGTTTTTCACATGGAGAAAATATTGGCCTAGGACCAGCATAGACTTGAAAGTATTAAATATTTCCAATATTTAAAAATGTTAATCACACCTTGTCTTGAATTTTGAACAAGAATAATATGAACTAGAATTGGGCAGTTGTATTATGATGGTAGTATAACTGAAATTTGAAACATTGTACTTGGGTGATTCAATTATTTCCATATCTGGAGGCAAGTTGTATTAGCCAATACAGAGAGAGAAATATAGATTTGGAGCAGTCAGCTATGCTTAGAAGCATATTTTAATAGATAGGAAGCTTCTACTTTTCTAAAAATACATTTATGAGGAAGCAAGCAAATGATGTGGCTCGTTTGGAGACAAAAAGTCTGGCATAGATTTTAAGGACCCAATTCATGCATGATGTTTTATCCTGTAAACTGAGAAGTAAAATCTAAGTATTTAGTTCACTTTGCATTCTATGACTCAGTCATGTGTTTAGCAACCAGCATAGAACTTCCATTAATAGCTGACTCTGGGCTTTTTTTTTTTTTTTAACAAACTTCATTTTTAAAAGGAAGAAACAACTCTTCATCCTATTTTTAGCATTAAAGGTGCTTGTTATTAAGGCTAAATAGAACTCAGTGTTTCTAATGTTTCTAACATAATTTAGAAATATTAGTGAGTTGGTCTTTTTGGTATCAGGAATTAGCCCTTCAATAATACATAAAATGGTCAACCATAATCCATACTGTCATGCTTTCAAAACATAAGAAAAAAAAACATGAACCATTTACCACTTTACAAGCAATGTGTTAAAACTACACATTAATTTGCATTTACTAAAATAAAAATGCAAATAATTGAGACTCCAAATATGTTATGTTTGTTATGTTGATGATACTTAGCAACTTGTATAATAATTAATTAAAGACACATGACTTTACTGAGAATTATTTAATACATGTTTTTTGAAATATAGTTTAGTTAAATATTTAATCAAATGTCTCAACTGGAATTCAATAATAATTCTGGCTGTTATTCCCCTAGTCAACATCATTTTCCCAGATGAGAAAAGCAAATTTTTGTTTAGCTTCTCCTCTGAATCTCTATGATAGATATTTGTAAAACGGCTAGGTTGCAATATCATTTATTTGTTCGATTTATGATACATCTTTCTACCCTAGCAAGAAGTCAGGGTGAAATACAGAATCAATCAAAGTTAAAAGCCTGAAGAAAGGCATGCAGTATTATATATGTTGTGAAAGCTAAGAAAGTGGAGGCCCAATGCAATTCCCAAATTAAATGCATTCCATAGCCTAAAGAGAACTTGGAAGACTCTCTCCCCAATGTCAGAAAGAAAATCTGACAGTGAGGGAACCCTCAAATGAGTGTCTTCTATGCATCTTAACAGCTAGATAAGTTCATCAAATAAAAGGTGGTCAAGATAATGAACTTTTAAACCATGTATTTTTCCGTGATAGTTTTTCCAGACTGATTGGCCCAGTTTTGTAGAGATCTCCCATTTAATAGCTGAAGAAAAGTTGGTGTCATCTCAGTTATCTTCAGTGAATTATCCATAGACCCATCTAGCCATTTTGAGAAAAACATTAGGAAAATATTCATTTCTGTTGCAGAATGCATTTGCACTCATCAAAATAGTATGGCGCTTTCTGATTAATGTGGTGGGTTCTGCTTTGCTTGGGGAATTAAAGGTTTGCCTTTTTCTGTAAATAACTATTACACTGTATCTTACATTTTTGGTGTAACTGAAAGTCATGAAACAGCCCACACAGAAAGGACCATGGGCTAAGAGGCAATGTAAAATGCATTTGGATTTTAATTAAGAACGTATTTTTAACTCTTCTGTTAATGTCTCTAGAAACAACTGAGGTGTACTTCAAATATAATCAGATAATAATTTTCTCATTTTGAATCCCTTTTCTGTATGTTTTATTACACTCATAAAAACCCAATTCTAATACTAAGATATGTGATCCATGCCCCACTCAATGCAAGAAATCCAATATAGGATGCAACTAGACAATCCACTAAGGATTATCCTTTTGTCATGTAGACCATTTTTATGTTGTTACGCTGTGTTATGAAATTAAACTATTGTATGATGTGCCTTGTTGGGTTTCACTTTTCATTTTTAATTTTTGTAAGTAATCAGTGATACAGCAATAGCACTTAGATTTATATACAGCTTCATAGTGCTTTACAGAGTCAACATATTACTGCCAACAATCTGGCTCCTCATTTCACCTACCTTAGAAGGATGGAAGGCTAAGTCAACCTTGACCCAGTCAGGATCAAAGGAATCAACCTCCTGGGAGTGGGCAGCATTAGCTTGCAATACTTCATTCTAACCACTGGATCACCAGGGCTCCATAATTCTTTATGTTGCAGGAAAATATTTTGGCACATATATTAACAGCACCACTAAAACATGTTCTTCCTTAGGCATGAATATAAACCAGAGAAACTTCCTTCACATTCTTTTGAAATTGATCATGAAGATGTTGACAAGGATGAAGTAAGCATATGACTGTATACTTTCTCTTTATTATTCCCAAATGTTTCTAATGCCCAAATCAGGCAAGGTCCAAATCTCCAACAGCGTCATGTGATGTGGCTTAGGAAGTATGCCTTCTTTGTTACAGCTCTGCCTTTGGAAAATCAATCCACCCGAAACATTTTGGCTTACCCCAAACACCAGTTTTTCTCCAACACTGAGTCCAGGATGTTAATGAAACCCAGGGTGGAATTATATGATATATGTTCCATGTGGGTTTTTAAAATTTATTTTTGCCCTAACTTTTGTTGTTGTTGTTGTTGTTGTTGTTGACTCAGAATTCCACTGGTAGATAGATATATATCATAAATTTGTTGAATAAATAAATACATTTTCAGTTTTTGAAAGGAAACACATTTTCTAAAGAAAATTATATATATAACAGATCTGAGAGGTGTTACCATTATTGGAAAGTGCATAACTAATTTTTTTTTACATGTTCGGAGTTTTTGTCTTGCGGGGAAAAAAATATCAAAGGGTATTAATGTCTTTAAATCAGGATACAATGTCTCACTCATCTTCAAAAGGCGGTGGAGGAGGAGGAGGAACTGGAGTTTTCAAATCTGGATGGCTTTATAAAGGGAATTTTAACAGCACAGTAAATAATAGCATTACAGTTCGGGTAAGAAAATTACTGTTATTTTCTATTGTAAAAGGAGAGCAATGTTATTTTATGTTGGCAAAACAATCAGAAGCCTAATACCAAACTCCTTTTCATTGTTTAATATCTGTCCTCTGATTTAATTCTCATCATAATTTTTTTTCTTTGTATTTTCACTTGTTTGCTTAGCTCCAGTATGTAATTAAAGAAACTATGTTTCAGAAACTATATGAGCTTTTGCCTGGACATAAGCTGTATTAAGCTCCATAGATGGTTCAAAGTAAACATGCGTACTGTTGCAGTGTAAATGACATTAAAGTGGCCAGTTCCATTGTCATTGAAAGAGTATTGTTCTTTATGATTATTAGTGGTGTTTCATTTTCTGTTTTCTATGAATTAAGCATCTGGTCAGAAATAATTTGTGTTACAGCCAATTCTGTTTCTTATTTTCACATAGTCATTCAAAAAGCGCTATTTTCAACTGACACAATTGTCGGACCACTCGTACATAATGAACTTTTATAAAGATGAAAAGATCTCAAAAGAGCCCAAAGGCTGCATCTTTTTGGATTCCTGTACAGGGGTGGTACAGGTAAGTCAACAGTTTTTAAAATATTGATAGTTTTACTGTATGAAATATCTTTATTGCGTCTGCATTTTCTCAGCCATTTTAATTTCAACAGTTCTTTGCTCTTGAAGACTACAATCCTTACACATATCACTTCTCTTCTAAATACATTGTACCATAGGCTATATTCAGAACCTCTCATTGCTCCCTATGCTAATTCCCAGCTTTTCATTGCAAAAATCAAATCTAGTATTCATCCTAGTTGATTTTTCCATGTGTATAAATAAAAAGACTTGCAATTATGCCACATACCAAAATCAAACAGGGTGTCAGTCTGTGCTCCATTCAAAATCCAAGAAAGAAATACTCAGACTCCAATGTTTAGAGCAAAGTTTTTTCTTTTACTGAAATTTAAAGTGGAAGCTGCAGGTAGAATTCTGAATCTAAAGAATTTGGCGCGCAGATCACATATACAAAGGGATGGAATTGTTCCCACCCCCCAAAGTCCAAAAGACTCTTCCAATTAAAAGTTCTGAATATGATCATGTGGGCATCTTCAGGTGGTGATGCGGCCTCTGTCCGTTGACCTTGACATATTTTGATAAAACTTCGCAGCTGCGCAAAGGAAAGGAAAAGCTAGGCAAGGAAATAGAAACTTAAGAACAGGAATTTATACTCCCCCTCCTCCTTCTCATTTACAGCATAGGAATGTAACACCTCCAGCTTTCTTCCCCTCCAATCCCACCCCCTTACTAATGACAGCCGAAAGATGGAGAGCAGTGAGAAAGATGCATAGCAATAGAAAAGATGTAGAAGAGATCTTGAAGGCTGACATTGGGCTTTTTTTCTCAGCAAATATTCATAAATCAAATTCTCATTTTTTTCAGCCTCTGAACAACTTTCTGTGTTTTAATCTTCTTCCACCTATCCATGCTTGTCATCTAACAGAATAGCCATATTCCCCAGACTGTCTCTATTCAGAATGTTGAACGATACATTCCAAGATTCCAAGATCTTCTTTCACTATCACCATTTCTTAGAGTACAGCAACCTATGAATTTTTGCTCCTTTAAGTGGAATCTTAATATACAAAATGAAATATATCTTAAAATTGCCAGTTTGGCTTTTCTTTCATGAACAAAATTTCTCGTGGCATCTGAAATGTACCACATGATGCTTTGTTTTTGAATGAGAAGTTTAATATAGCTCCTTAGTCTAAAAAAAAATAAACTTGCATTTTTGTTATTGAACGGTTGAATGTTTGAAGTTAATATCAAGCTTGATTCTGGCAGAATGGTAATTCTGAGAGAGACTTCAAACACAAGATCTGCTTTGCTTTATCTGAATCCCAATAATAGAAAAGCCCTTTGATACAAAACAAAAACAAAAACAAAACCCTTTTCTCACTATTTTCCTCTTTAGTTCAAATGTCCAGCTTTTGTTTGTATTGCTGCTCTCTGTTAGGGAATAAAACTGGAATTCTGTTGAATTATCCATGCTGTTTTGCTGCGAGTTCTGTTAGCTGATAGAATTGAATAAAATACTTTATTGGCCAAGTGTGATTGGACACACAAGGAATTTGTCTTGGTGTAAATACTCTCAGTATACATAAAAGAAAAGATACATTCATCAAGAGTCAAGAATCATAAGGTACGACACTTAATGATAGTCATAGGGTACAATAAGCAATCAAATCATACTAGGAAACAGTCAATATAAATCGTAAGGATACAAGCGACAAAGTTACAGTCATACAGCCACAAGTGGGAGGGGATGGGTGATAAGGAGTAATGAGAAGATTAACAGTAATAGTAGTGCAGACTTTGTAATAGTTGAACAGTGTTGAGGGAATTATTGGTTTAGCAGAGTGATGGCTTTCAGGAAAAAAACTGTTCTTGTGTCTAGTTGTTCCGGTGTGCAGTGCTCTGTAGTGTCATTTTGAGGGAAGGAGTGGAAACAGTTTATGTCCAGGATGTGAAGGGTCTGTAAATATTTTCACAGCCCTCTTTTTGACTCGTGCAGGGTACAGGTTCTAGATTGAAGGCAGGTTGGTAGTAATTGTTTTTCCTGCAGTCCTAATTATTGTCTGAAGTCTGTATCTGTCTTGTTGGGTTGCAGAACCAAACCAGACAGTTATAGAGATGCAGATGATAGACTCAATAATTCCTCTGTAGAACTGTATCAGCAGCTCCTTGGGTAGTTTGAGCTTTCTGAGTTGGCGCAGAAAGAACATTCTTTGATGTGCTTTTTTGATGACGTTTTTGATGTTAGATGTCCATTTTAGGTCATGTGATATAGTAGAACCTAGAAATTTGAAGGTCTCTACTGTTGATACTGTGTTGTCTAGTATTGTAAGAGATGGTAGTATGGGACGGTTTCTTCTAAAATCTACCACCATTTCTATGGTTTTGGGTGTGTTCAGTTCCAGATTGTTCCAGTTACACCACGAGGCAAGTTTTATAACTTCCTGTCTATATGCAGATTCGTTGTTGTCTTGAGTGAGACCAATCACTGTTGTGTCATCAGCAAACTTCAGTATTTTAACAGATGGATCGTTTGAGATGCAGTCATTGGTATATAGGGAGAAGAGAAGTGGAGAAAGCACACGGCCTTGGGGGGGCCCTGTGCTGATTGTACACATATCAGGTGTGATTCTGCCTAGCTTCACCTGCTGTTTCCTGTCTGTTAGGAAGCTTATGAGCCACTTACAAGTGTGTTCAGGTACCGCTAGTTGGTTTAATTTACTTAGAAGAATGTCTGGAATGATGGTATTGAATGCTGAACCGAAGTCTACAAAGAGGACCCTTGCATAGGTATTTGGAGATTCAAGGTGTTGTAGGATGTAATGCAGAGCCATATTAACAGCATCATCTCTCGATCTATTTGCTCAGAATGTGAACAGCATGGGATCTAACAGCAGATCCGTGATGGTTTTCAGGTGGGACAGCACAAGCCTTTCAAATATTTTCTATAACTACAGATGTTAGAGCAACTGGTCTGTAGTCATTCAGTTCCTTGATGCAGGGCTTCTTTGGCACTGGGATGATAGTAAAGCATTTGAAGCAGGAAGGAACATAGCACATCTCGAGTGATCTATTGAAGATTCAAGTGAAGATGGGGGTCAATTGGTCAGCAAAGACTTTTAAGCAAGAAGGAATAATTTTATTTATTTATTTATTTATTTGATTTGCCAATTGTTTACAAGATAATAAGTATAAGTGTATACATAGTTGTGAATACATGAAATGGGTACATATAAGAAAAATAAAAGAAGAATAAGAGAAACAATAGGACAGGGACGGTAGGCACGTTGGTGTGCTTATGCACGCCCCCTACAGACCTCTTAGGAAAGGGGTGAGGTCAATAGTAGACAGTCTAAGGTTAAAGTTTTTGGGGTTTGGGGAAGAAACTACAGAGTCGGGTAGAGTATTCCAGACATTGACCACTCTATTGCTGAAGTCGTATTTCCTGCAATCAAGTTTGGTGCAGTTAACTTTGAGTTTGTATCTATTGTGTGCTCTTGTGTTGTTATGGTTAAAGCTGAAGTATTCATTGACAGGTAGGACATTGCAATGTATGATTTTATATACCATGCTTAAATCAGACCGAAGACGGCGTAATTCAAGGTTTTCTAGTTCTAGAATTTCAAGTCTGGTGGCATAAGGTATTCTACAACGAGTAGAGGAGTGGAGAACTCTTCTTGTGAAATATTTCTGGACTTTCTCAATTGTGCTAATATCAGATACGTAGTGTGGGTTCCAGACTGATGAACTGTATTCGAGTATTGGTCTAGCAAATGTTTTGTATGCTCTGGTTAGTAGTGTGATATTACCAGAGAAAAAGCTACGTAGGATTAGGTTAATAACTCTTAATGCCTTTTTGGCTATGTAGTTGCAGTGGGCTCTAGCACTTAGATCATTAGAGGTGAGTATTCCAAGGTCCTTTACAAAGCTTGGGTCATCAACAAGATCTTGACTATTCAGCTTGTATTTTATTTTCTGATTTTTTTTGCCAATATGTAAGACAGAGCATTTATTTGTTGAGATTTGAAGTTGCCATTTGTTTGACCATTCTGATACATAGTCAAGATCTTTTTGTAGGGTAGCAGTATTGTCTGTGGTATTGAACAGCTTTACATCATCAGCGAAAAGAACGCAATTGCTCTTAATATGATCACAGAGGTCTGTCTGGCCCTGGTGCTTTTCCTGGCTCTCATCTCATAATAGATCTTGCACTTCTTTTTCTGTGATCACTAGAGGTTGTGAACCCAATGGGTTGGGGCCAGTTGTAGGAGGCTTGGCTGTTGTTGGTGTGTTTGAGATATGGGTTCTGGATATAGGTGGCTGTAGTTTCCTTTCAAACCTGCAGTAAAACAACCTAAACAATCTTCTTATCTATGTGCTTCTTTAAAAGAGTTCTAGGTAAAATGACTCAGTCTAATCACGTGATTAAGAGACTTTTGAGATAATTCTGGTGTGCATACAGAAATCAGCGTGCATAACCATTTCTCATTTCAATTACACAGAAAAGCTACACAAATAGCTTTTTAACGCATGCCTAATGAGATTTTCCATATCATGTTTACATTTTAAAACTACCCTATTTGCCTTTGCCAAATGGAGAGAAAAGACACAAATATTTCCTGGTCCCATGCATTGCCTCTGATTCATTACAGTATGTAACTTAGTTATAGCTGGTATTCATAGCTTGCAAATACATAAGACGCAGTACAGGTTTTATCTAGTTTGCTTGTAAAAATTCTTTATTCTAATTGCTAAAAATGATGGAATTTTGTAAAAAAGTCCAAAGGGTCTTATGCTCAAAGATTGTTTTTTTTTCTTTCTTCTTTAAACAATGCACAATTATTTATTTAGTATTTAATTTTTATATTACTGAAAGTACAACATCCTTAGCAGTATATAGTAAATCAAATATAAATCAAATGCACTATACTTGACGCCAAGCCATTTAGAGCTTTATAAATTAAAACCAGCAACCAGTACTTTAAATTGCACCAAGAAATG